ATGCTTGACAGTTCTAAGATGATTTGTTTGTTCTATATAATAAGCCTTTGGTTCCTGAGAAAAGCAAGATGCTTTTTGAGTTACATATGGCAAAGCCTTCTATCTAATACAGGGGACCAGATACACCACACATTAGAGAAAATGGCCAACACATTCCAGAGTTCTTCAATGTTTTATCCATGGTATCCTAAACTTCACCTTCCTTTAGGTCTTTTCCACTTATGGGGAGATTCACAACATTTTTTTTAAAACAAGGGATCTATAAAAGTGTTTAAAAAATTGATTGCATCTCCAGTGCCAAGTAGTTCCCACCTCCCCCATTCCATGACTACTTTTAATAAAGTAGCCGATCTCTAAGTAGCTGACTAGCTGCCTTGGGGTTAACCTAGGTCCTTGACTTTGGTTGTCCTGATTGTGGACAGCTAAGGAAAACAAACACCAGAAGATGAGCTGGAGCATCTCTGCTCATCTGTAGTCTACCAGGCATCTTGTCAAAAAACCACTGAAGAGGATAAAAAAGATGGAATAAAGTATTAAGATGAGGATGATGAATGGTTGATGAATCTGAGTTCTGTACAACACCACTGCCTCCTATTTTAAAACAGAAAAATAAAGCAGTGGCCACATGTTAAAGGTTCAGTGGAGAAAGGGTACTTGGTGAGGCTGAACAGTCAGAGCTTGAAGCTCCTTCAATGATGGATGTGGTTTCTGGGACATGTATTCCTCAGGTCTATTTATTCAGCTATCATCTAAGACAAAGCCTGTCTGCTAATTTCTCAAGAGGCAAAAGGAGGGTGACCTAGGTGGCCCTACTGAGAGATTCTATGATGGCATGGTACCAAAATGTTAAGAAACTTTCCAGAACTTGGATCGAAAAGTGCAGTAAATCTCATCATTCCCTTGTTACAAAAATATTGGAGAACTGGATCAACGCCTGCCTCTTAGAATTACAGCTTATTTGAGGTCCATGACATCTGCAGTTCATGTTTCCTTGGACCTGGCCTGACCAGTCCTGTCTCTGAATCCATGTAATAAGCTGTGTTCCAACAGCACTCTGCAATTTGACTGGCTTAACTGGGAATAGAGATACTACTACTTGGCTGAGTTTGAAGAGATAAATTTCCATGTTCAAAAATCTCATTATGTTCCTTGAAACCTCTCTACTCTGGAAGTTCAGGAAGGAGAGAAGTGGGTAGATTTGTCTTTGGGAAAAAATGAAGGTGAGGTACCCTATGAGAACTAGTTCGTGGTCTGTCTGACTTTTGGGTCTTGTCTCCGTTCAGTGGCTAGTATAGACAGGAAATTGGTGCTGGTGTGGTGTATTCAGATTCTAGAATCTAAACGCCCTCTTTGATGTTGAAAAAGTCATACAAATGGGTTGGCAACCCTGTTTTACTTCTAAAAGTCAGTTTTACAATGATTCTTGACATTACAAATGCCAGTTGGTAGAAAACTGACAAACTGGTACCAGAATCTGCTGGCCCTGTGGGGCACATCATTTAAAACCTGTTTCAAAACATGCACTTAATCAATCTCTGCCTTCAGCTTTATTGTAGCTCCTCTCTCTCCATAGCTACTTTTGTCTCAATATGCCTTCCTGTCTATCCTAGACACTCCAGATCCGAGGAGGGCATCCAGTGTTGACCTGCGTGTGATTCAGAGGAGACAATAAAACCCTCTGACATCTAAGAGAGCTGGTCCTTTGCTCTACTGGCATGTTTTACCTCTAGAAAATTCAGTTCCTTCAACCAGGGGATCTCACTGATTACCAACCAAGCTGAATTCCCCAAATGACGCTGAGCAGAAAGCTGCCTCTTTTTTTTCCCATTTAAAGTCAAAGTCCCCAAGTTGGCCATCCCTCTGCTCCCGAGAGGAAGGGGACTAGAGTCTGTTCTGCCTGCTGTAGTTGAAGTCGGCTTCGTCCAGCTGGGATTCCGTGATGTTTGAGAGTTTCGTGTGTGTCCTCCCAATCTCTTCAAGGGCACAGGCCAGGGAGTCAAGGTCACCATCATGCTGATGACGAGCTTCCCACAGGTTCAGAATGACAGCATAAGGGCTGCTTTGTGTAGCAAAATAAGACAGATTCCTAGACAGACCAAAAACATGAATGAACAGAAATCACCACGAGGAAAT